AACATTGGAAGGAGCAGAACTTGAAAATTATGGTGGCATCGGTTTAGCTGGCGCACATTGGGAGAAACGAGTTTTTGAGGTGCGTGCACGAACTCTCTTTATGAAAACCTAATAATTCACATGCAGGGAGGATGGAGGGACCGTGAAGTTGACATGCTATCTTCACAAAATTTACAAACAATCACAATCCAATCCTCATTACGGCAGGAAGAGGAAGAGGTTTGGAAGGAGTGCAGGAGTACTGAGGAGTAAATACCAGGCTAAGTGCAAGCAAAAAGCCCTCCACTGGCCTCCTTGCCCTTGCTGGTTCTTAACATCCTACATCCTCCATTCCAAGAACTTCTTCCATATACAACAATACGAGTGCGGTATAGCGTTCCAGGGAAGTATATGCATCATGAATGCAATAGCCATGGGGGGAGGCGAGAAAGCGAGATGTGGCATTCTTTTGGCGAACGCGAAACGTTTGCAGTGCAGCTAGGCTCCGGCACAAAATTGTGACGCTTCCATCTACCACTTCAAAGCCGCTAACAGCATTCTTTCATTTTCATTCTGGAAGAGCACTTCACTCCAACCAGTTGTATCATTTTGTGCCTGTGTGGTGCGTTCCTAGAGGAAAGGGGCTCTTTTTCAGCAAGACGTCGGCTAGCGACGATGTGTTCGAAAGACCTTTCTCAAAGGAGGAGTCCAGAAGCAGTCTATCAAAAATCATGGAAGAGGTAGTCGCTGGAGTGGCTATGTAGGAAGCTGGCGCCCATCTAGCATATCTAGCAACGGTAAAGGGTTGCTTGATATGCTAGATGGGCGCCAGCTTCCTACATAGCCATACTAGCCCCCTTGATATCCGGGTTTGAGCACGAATCGCTTTGATATACCTGCTGCGCGCCAGAAAACGCAGCACAGAAGCAATATCACAAATGTGAGAATATTTCTTATCGGCTGACCTAATAATTGTGGCCCACCGTGTCCCTAAATGCGCTAAATATCTGACTTATTCAAATATGAGGACCAAAAGTGTGTGCAAGCGCAGTAAAAAGTCTACAAGAGCAAAAATATTCATTTGGTAAGAAACTATTGTAACAACTAATCTATAATATATTACACTTGTACGCTCCTCAGCTGCTAATCCGTTTCACTAAGTATGACCTGTATCACGAGCAACTTCAGCACTTAAAGAAGCGATTACGATAGATCTCAAAGGGGTTTAGAGGGGACGTGAGGGTCTCAATAGTACGCCAATGGCGAAAAAAGCAAAGAAATCCGTCAAAAATAAGCAAAATAGTACCCCTTTGATTGCCCTTTCATTTTCGACCATGGATGAGCGACGGTAAAGAACGACGTTGTTCGGACGTGTTAACCCCGATAGCCGCCATCATGCCAACAAGCATAGTGTTTTGATTGATAAGGCAATACGTGGGCAAGTTGGAAGATACAGCCGCTAGAAGGGAAATGATCATCCAAAATGAAAAGCCAACAGCAAACAGTCCATCCAGATCATCAACAAAACTAGTGGGCGTCACGTCACTGGGGGCGGGGCGTCACGCGGGTCCTGCTCAGCAACCACAGCACCTTTCGCCGTGGGAGGACCACACATCGCTTCCTTGGCAGCCAAGTAATTGCTCCGTGTGGCGCAGGTTCTCCCCCGATGCGAAAATTCCTTATCGTAATCGCTTCCTTTAAAGGACGAATTCACGATGAAAAGCAACCCATTTCAAATTAACCTAGGGATGGTGAGTGGTACACGAAAGAAGGAAGAACCATGAGAAACGGCCCAGAACCCGAGAAATGGGACCCCTTCCTTGCCCGTTGATTGATGGCTCTCATCGCTGTGCCCTCTTCAACACTACGCTCTCTCTGCCACATCACTCCCCACGTACAGACCTGTAGCGTGGATAGTCGGTGGGCATATTCCAAAACCGCGCCAAGAGTGAGTTATGCTAGATCGTCGGGCTCAAATCTTTTTCACTTTCAATTGCGCGTCAGCAACCCTCAAGAGCTCCTCCAGTCTCCTAACTATGCTATGCAATTTCCCACTTCTTTGACCTACGTTTCATCACGAATTCCTTCTTTAAGGATGAAACAATGAGTGGTGGTTTAACGAGGACCGCACAAAATGGGGCGTTCTCCCGTTTGACGCTGGCACTATATGAAGACTCTGGTTGGTACAAAGTGAACTACGAGTAGGTTCTTCCTTACTCAATATTGTCGTACAAAGGGTTTGAATGCAGTAAGGGTAGTGAATGCTTATGCGTTTCTGCCCGTGTGGAACAGCCGTGTTGTGATCCCACGTCTGGACTCACAGGGCTCGGCTCAATAGCCACAAAATGAAACGTAATTGAAAATTTTCATATAGGGGAACGAAATCAACGGGAGCACGAAGAATGATGACTAAATCATGTTAGAAGCATGTAGTAAAGATATGTTAGGCTGTGTCATAAATAGTGTAGCTTTTTTTCAACCAAAAGGTTTTCATGTAAATCTCCCATGCTTTTATACCGTTTGACCTTTCGAAAGAGAATTGTCTGCTCTACAAGATGCCATGTTCCTCTTCCATTTCCGTCCCAGGGTTTTCAAATTTTAGGCGTGCGAAACGGGAGCTCCAGCCGTAACTTTATCTTCCCTGAGAAGAAATCAATCAATGATGTACCCTCTACTTACCCATGACCTCTTCTAAACATTCCACTCTTAGGTTGCCGAAAAAGCTTTGCCGTGTTTCTTTTCGAATTGGCTGACCGATAAGCCATAGCAATTTTCAAATTAAAATTGTTCCTCGTAAACGCCATTGTTTCATATCGAGTGGTGTTCCTTTTGTGAGCACTTCTTCTGCTCTATTCGCTCATTTGTTTTGTTTTTATGTTTGTTGGGAATTAGTTCGAATTTTAGGTGTTTAGGAATAAGGTGTTTTATCCACGAAAGTGACCGCATTTCTTGAAAAAATTATCCTTGAGAAGATGAGAAAATCAACCAGGCGTACATTCCTAACTTAGTCATGACTTGTTCTTTGAAATTCTACTAGTTTTTCAATGTCTCGGCTAAAAAAAATTTCGACCTAGATCTCAGGTAATGGTGCTCGACCGTCGAGTTCTGGTTGAAAAACCAGGTCTGGAAATGGAACGACGCGACTTGTTGGGAAACCTAATAGTGTAATGTTTAGAAGAGGTCATGCATAAGTAGAGGGTACACATTCTCCCAAGGGAAGATAAAGTTAGAGATAGTTGTCGGTTTGGTCCAATTTTTGTCGGCTGGACCTCCCATTTCGCTAAGGCGCCTAAAATTTGAAAACCATGGAACATAGATGGAAGGAAGAACACGATATTTTGTAGAGCAGACAATTCTCTTTCGAATGGTATATGAAACGATGTAAAAGCATGAGGATTTGGATGAAAATTTTTTGGTTGAAAAAAAACGACAGTATTTATGAGACAACCTAATATGTCAGGTCGTTCCATAAGTTCGTGCCACTTTTTTGCACCTCATACCAGAAGTTCGTCTAGTAATCCCTGAATTTGACCAAGTAGGCGTAAAATCACTTCGTTTCGTGCATGCAAAACATAGTCGCTTTAGCTGCTTTGAAGTGAAAACCAAAAGAGAAGAGAGCCAGTCTGTCTCTCACGCTTCGAGCTAACTTCCACTGATCCCAAAAACGGTCGAAGCCAGGGGTATCCTTCGCTCTGCGATGCTCCTCCTTCTCGTTCACCATGCGGTACAGGAACGTTGAATTTTTTTGCTCTGGGGACTACAGCCTGAAGACCTTGACTGGGAGAGCGATCGGTTGCCGATCTAAACCTGCTGTGCTCTTCGACCGAAGACAATCCCGCACACCTTATGTTCTGCTATGCACTGCACTCCAGACATTGTTGGACAAAGAAGTTTTTATTAATTGAACAGTGGTGACAAGAGTGCAACTCTGCTTCAACCAACACCTATCTGTCCTGTTCCACCCCTACGAGGTGAACAACGCCGCTGATGGTGATGCTCGGTATTTGTTTTATGCTGATCACCTGCAGAAGCATCAGTGGCAATCGATAGATCGATCAGAGGGGGAAAAACTTTCAAATTTAGCAAAACGTTCTGGTTCACGTATGAAATGCAAATCGCGATTCAGTCACTGGGCATTTCTTTAAATCTTTGACTTTTCAATGGACCAGGCCTCTCTTAATAAGCGCTTGAAGCTGGATAGAAAAGTATGTCCGCTCCACGACAACCAAGGTGACGTGATCCGAGAATAACACAGCTCCAGAGTTGGAAGCTCACTGGAGAAGTCCGTCCCGATCCACAATGCAGCGGCGGTCAGGATCCTTTCGAAGGCCATCTACCTTTCTTGCTAGGGAAAAATCATCTTACAGAAGAAATACGATCCGAAGAGGAAGCTCGGAGAGGAGCCTCATTGCATTTTGCAGCTCGAAAGTGCTGACCTTCTGAGGGCACGGCATCGACTCTCCGGTGGAGCATTTGTAACAAGCCAGCAGTAGTGAAGTAGCCTTTATCGACGATGGATAATGTTTTCTGTCAAGATAATGTTGACTCAATCTTTGGCAGATCATGACATGTATACAGGCACTTATTAAGAAGAACAGAGTGGTTGAAATCAGTTAATACTGGGATTTATGGATTCGTTCTTAGATATGAAAACTAGGATTGATGAAAATTAATCAGCAAGTGACTCTGAAATGCAGTCGATGTGTAATACTGATGAACCAAGCACGCGGTTGTCCGATTTTTTCACGATATCTATACCAAACATGAGTGCACGGCGCAACACAGGTAACACAGGAATAAGATTATTGTACTGGAGCGGCTCTTTAAAACATCCGTAAGTGTAAACAACTTCTGCAATTATCAGAGCTCGTAAAATGATAGGGGGGGGCGCCAAAGGAAAAGGTCAGGATGCATGTCGAGAAGCAATTGATAGAGCCCGAAAGTTATAGTTGGAGAATAGCTGCATTGACAATGCAGAAAATATTTCTCTGGAGCTTTCAAGGTCCCTAATTTAATAGTGAGGACATAAATGATAAGTATGCAGTGCACAGAATTCAAGGCTTAAAAAGGAGGCAATGGCAAGAATGCGGATTGTACGACATGTGTCAAAATTATAAGTAAAAAAGAAGAAAAAAAAGAAGTATGAAAAAAGAGTTCGGTGCAGAAGAGATTTAATGAAGTCTAGTGCATGCCGAAACATGGATTTATATTTGCGTGTGCTCTCTCCTTACAAGGTGGGACAGATATTTGTGCGAAGAGTCTTTTAAAAGCATCACACTAAGCTAAACCAGAAGGAAATTCCTAATAACCGAGATTCCCTAAAGCCATAGGTCGGGCTCACCTTCACCAAGGAATGTGCTACCGTGTGTGCACGGGACAAGGGCGTTTGAGAAGGTAACACGAATTCGCCAAAATTTTTTCCACTAACTTTGAAAGCCTTGGTCGGTGATCTTGACTAGGAAGGGTGGTATGGAGATTGATGGAAAATGACTGACTCATCCTCTTTTGCTGACGATTGCGCTATTTTGCACATGATGCGCTTGAGCTTCAACAGACAGGAAGTAAAATTGGACCGAATTCGTCCAACACCAAGTAGATGCACAATTAGTTCAGTCCTACAGCGACGAACAATATAGATGGCAAAACGATCGAAAAAGTGAAAAGCTATGATGCCTCGGACACAAGCTCAGCTAACCTTTCGATGGAACTGATGAAGTCTTAGCTTCATTCGATGGCGATGCTGTACGGTCAATCACGTAGCGTGCGTTGCTAACGTAAAGTTGGAAAACGATCAGTTATTAGAAGTGCTTTAATACTATGTTAATCGCAACAGTTGCGTAATCTAGGATCTAGAATTAAACCGGAACGATGCCTCAACAGATATTATCTTTCCACCAATAATTTCGCCACGTGCACGTCGTTCACTGGCTGTAGGAGAGAGAGAGTATGAACCTTTTTATTTATGCCAATGTGCCTATCTGTCCATACGCAAAATGAAGGGAAGCCGATGGAGTGAACCAACCACCAACAAAACCTCGGGAAGGGGCAAGGAAATCCGCTCATGACTGAGGTCAACATAAGCGGTGTGTTTCATTCAATGTGATTATGATCATGATTTTCACATATTCTAATGCCTTTTTGTGCGTTCGCCCTACGTCGTCCACCACCTATAGACTACAATAGAGACCACGAAATCAGAGGCGAATTGCAAAGAGCTGCAGTATTGCATAACGAGGTTCGGTGTGTTGGGGTATTCTGAATCAGAGAAGAGAATTGTGAAATTGTCGTTTCAGCAAAGCCGAGGACATGATGTGGGGCCACAACTTGGGCTGCGACTTTGCTAAACAAAGCTGTCTATCGTGGATGAAAAGGAATTTGGAGAATCCATATCCGTTTTGCAATATATATGGTGACGTCAGGTGAATGGTGTTTTTTTATACAACTTGTTATTTTATTTTTATATATATAACTTCGTATAATGTATGCTATACGAACATCGTTAATTTTATTTATATATTTTCTACGCACATTGCTCAATGAACGCCATTTCTCAATTAAGCTTCGCACAAATATTTCTTAGTGATTTTAGTGTGAAAGGTCACTTTGCCGATATCACGAAATGTTTACAATAAGACCTCACTTTTCGATTACTTTTCAATTGTCCTTCACGAGACTTCCTAACTTGGTAACACATATTTGGCTGTCAGACAAAAAATAGTACAGGGTGGTCCAAAATTATGAGGACCGCGTGCGCGCGCAGTCATATCCACTTTTTTCCGTATCGCTCCATTTTCATCTCGTTTTCTGTGCACTATGTGAAAGGGTACAATGTCTTCTTCCTAATGAAACCAAATTTCATGAAGTTCTCAAAACTAGTGAAATAACTACTTCACTTTGAGTCAGTCCTCAAATTGAACTCACTAGGGGCTCTGGCACGTTACATCTAGCAGCAGTCTAACCTATCAGAGAAGCCCTTATGAGCAACAGTTCAACTCTTCAATAAGTTTGGAATCACCACAGATGGAAAATTCGGAGACTCGGAAAGATACAGTTACCACCAGGATAATTATCAGATGCAGAAACCTGCTCTCCCCTTGCCGACTTTCGTACTCCTAAGCTTCTTGAGTACTATACTTGGAACTTTTAACAGGACCAAGCACCTAAGAATAGGACAAAAATTCCCTGAAGAAGCGATTTTTCGAGTTCCTGCTTTTGAAGAATTGTTACATAGGAACCTTTTATCTTATATCACTAGACTTCTGTATTTTACACCCTGGAGGCAAGTGCAAATAAATGCCCCACAAAACTTCGATCCCCTGAAGAAAGCAAAGCAGAGGGCCTGAATTTTGAGACGCCTTATTCGCAGTGTCAGCGCACGCGCCATCCCCGTTCATCTGAAGGCTCGCGTTTACGCGGCAGGTGGCAGATCTCAATTCTATTCTGGATCTATTAGGTTGTCTCATAAACAGTGTCGCTTTTTTTCAACCAAAAAATTTTTCTAAATCCTCCATGCTTTTACATCGTGTCATATACCATTCGAAAGAGAATTGTCTGCTCTACAAGATGCTATGTTCCACTTCCACCTATGTTCCAGGGTTTTCAAATTTTAGGCCTGCGAAATGGGAGGTCCAGCCGACAAAAATTGACCAAACCGACAACTATCTCTAACTTTATCTTTCCCTTGGGAGAAATCAATCAATGATGTACCCTCTACTTATGCATGACCTCTTCTAAACATTACACTATTAGGTTTCCTAAAAGTCGCGTCGTTCCATTTCCAGACCTGGTTTTTCAACCAGAACTCGACGGTCGAGCACCATTACCTGAGATCTAGGTCGAAATTTTTTTATAGCCGAGACATTGAAAAACTAGTAGAATTTGAAGAACAAGTCATGACTAAGTTAGGAATGTACGCCTGGTTGATTTTCTCATCTTCTCAGGGATAATTTTTTTCAAAGAAATGCGGTCACTTTCGCGGTAAAGCACCTTATACCGAAACATCTAAAATTCGAACTAATTCCCAACAAACAGAGAAAACAAAACAAATGAGCGAATAGAGCAGAAGAAGTGCTCACAAAAGGAACACCACTCGATATGAAACAATGGCGTTTACGAGGAACAATTTTAAATTTGAAAATTGCTATGGCTTATCGGTCAGCCAATTCGAAAAGAAACACGGCAAAGCTTTTTCGGCAACCTAAGAGTGGAATGTTTAGAAGAGGTCATGAGTAAGTAGAGGGTACATCATTGATTGATTTCTCCCCAGGGAAAATAAAGTTACAGCCAGTTGTCGGTTTGGTCAATTTTTGCCGGCGAGACCTCCCATTTTGCTGGCCTGAAATTCGAAAACTCTGAAATAGCGGTGGAAGCGGAACACAGCATTTTGTAGAGCAGACAATTCTCTTTCGAATGGTATATAAAACGATGTAAAAGTTTCATGATTTAGATGAAAATTTTTTGGTTGAAAAAAAGCGACACTACTTATGAGACAACCTAATACTTTGAGGTAAGAGTTGCAAACACTGCCCTGAAAATTGTTTGTCCCATCAAACAACTGTGTTTTAACGACACAATGTCTTGGTCCTCATAATTTTGGCCTACCCTGTAGTATAACAAAAGTGTTGTCGGAATTTGAACAAGATAGAATCGATGCAAAAAGTGTTGAACTTAGGAATCGCGCATGACTTGGACAAAATTCACGCCAAACTCCATGATTTTTTTGCAGGGATTTTATAGATATTGAGATCAGAAAAGCACCAAGATTTCCATGCTAGCACCGAGATTCCCTTTCCCGATAGAATAAAGCTCGCGTCACAAGAGAATCTTCCATTTCTGATAAACCGTGCTCTGTCATGGAATCTTCTTTAAAACTTGATGCCTAACAAGCTAATGTTTCGTGCGAGTTAAAGAATCTCAATTTCATTTTCGAGAGGGAGTCTCATTCCTGCTTCGCGCAGGAACAAGCCACTAAGTGAAAGAAAAACAAGAAAAAAAAACAGGCGAGCGCTAAAACATATCAAGCAAAAGCGAATTACTTCAATGGACTGGCGGCGTTTTCATGCAAACAGGCCCGCTTCCCGCAGTGGTTTTTGACACACGGAATGCCTCGCATTTCGCTCTATAGGCAAGCGGCTAAGGGGCACGAAACATTAGTCTGTTAAGACATCAAGTTTTGAAGTTTTCAGTGAGAGAGCTTGGCTCAGTAGAGCTAGATATCTCTTTTATCACACAGCCAGTCTATAGAAAGGGAAGGGTATTCGTATCATGCGAATTCCCTTCGATGCAAGCCGTCTACTGTGGGCGGGGCTCCGCCCAGCTGATGTGTGTTTTGTAGAAATGCCCACCCATATTGCGCTTAACCCAGTCTGTCCAGGATCTCCAGAAGCTAGGAAATTTTGTGACAGACCTACAGACGACAAATAGTCAGACAGACGAAGTAAATAAGTGTAGGATAGGGCACTAGCGCAAGATTCGAGGCATTCTCTAGAACTGATCTAGGATGAGCCAAAAATTGTGGGGAAAATGAAAACTGCTAACGCACTATGGAGCCTCCCCTTCTCTGCCTCAATTTAGTCCCGCTTTCAACAAAAGGAGGTGTTCCACGTAATTTCAAATGCATTGCCATTGAAAGGCATCTGTATCTTGCGATAGCACCCCAACGTACATTGTGGCATGAGGTCAAACTATGTACAGGGCGGTGCTGAGGGTCAGCTCAAGAGTCTGAGGCTTTTTGCGAGTTTTCTTTTGAAGTGGGATCGAGCGATTTCAAAGAAAGCAGACATCGTCTTGCTTTGCTTTCAGTTTGAAGATTTCGCTCTCGAGCTGTTGATGCTTGTCTTTACATTGAGTCTGTTATGTCGGTTGACACTTTTGCGCGTAGCCCATCTCGTTTCCCATAAATTTCTCGGACGAATTGAACCTGGAGTTGATTTAATTTGTTTTTGTATGACTCTTAAATCGATTAAGCTAGGCTGCCGCTAGGCTTTAGATATCTTAGAACACTGTCCCGGTCCTGATCAGCGGTGAATATGCTGGTCAGTCGATCGAAGGAAAGTAAACCAGCTGGGAAACCAACGGTAACGTGACGACGTCAGATCAGGTTTGAAAGTGATTGGGGCTCATCGTCAGATCATGCAGAATAATGACTCCATGTGAATCTTTACGACTCTTACAATAAGAGATGTCTCAATACATCTTCTTCAACACATCGGGAACGCACTGAAAAAAAAACGGTCAATCTGTTCGGATTCCTTTCAATTGGCGTCAGTTAGAGCACTGATATTTTCAGTCGCGAGATCTTTTTCAAGTTAAAAAAGCCAAGCGAAGCAATGTCTCGGTAGTTCTCAGCATACATAACGTGGGCGGGAACCGCCCACAATGGGCGGGGCGTGTCCTAAAGTACATAGCGTTTCCTACAAGTCCATATAATTCGGTTCCGAGAAGCATTGGAGAGTAGGAAAAAGGTGGATAGAGGTTAGAAGGAGTGGTTGAGTGCTAAAGGTGGGCGCGGCGTGCACAAAAGTGGATGCAGTCTTGCTCGAAATTTATAACTCGGTTCCAAAAAGCCGTGAGACCGGCAAAAGTGAATAGAGGTCAACGAAGGAAATGAAGCTATTTGCTATTGGTGGGCGGGGCTATTCACAAAAGATTATAACTCGATTCCAAGAGTCCTTTCCTGGAGACGGGAAAAAGGTGGATCGAGTCTTACAACGGAAGAGGCGGAAGAGAAGTCAACTGCTACTGGTGTGTGGGAAATGGGTCAGTGCGAGCGGACTTTGCGTCGAAGTGGTAATTCGGTCCCATGAATATCTGAAGACCGGGAGTTCACGCACCAACTCATATCGCCGCAGAACTGTGTTGTTGCGCTCAACGCGTGCGGCGTCAAACTGGTAGCTCCTCGAGGAGGAAGGGGTGATTATTAAAAAATGCACTGTTTGTGCGGTGAAAGCATATCCGAACAGCACTCTAATGATTGAAAGTAGGATCGAGGTAGTTTCGCCTTTTCAAACCTATGAACAAGTCAATCTTCGCTATAATTTCTAACGCGAAACGTGCAAATGTGCACAAAAAAGAATCAACGGGACGATTTTCTGAAGAGGTGAAAATTTAAAAAAAATTGCGTACTTCTTGGCAATAAACAATTTGTAGCCTTACATTTGAAGAGAGCCTTTTTTAATGGAAAAATTGTTCATCCCAATGAAACTCTACCCCAAACTTTATAACAAAAAAGAATTTTTTTCACAAATGCCTGGACGATTACTTGTTTGGAGGGAACACTCCACCCTTGCGCTGTTTATCCCTACTATATATAAAACGCTATGTCTGTCTGTACGTGTGTGTGTGTGTGCGTGTGTCACGAAATTCATAGCACGCGTCGCAGCAGTCGTTAGGAGCTGATTTTTTGATATGATATAGTGGGTGGGCGGTAACATATTTGGTGGGGGTTACAAAGTGATAACGACTGATAAGAGCAGATAAGAGGCGCTGAAACACAAATTTCACGAATAAATAGTAGCGCTTCGCAGCAGTCGTCAGGAGTTGATTTTGGGACATGGTATAGGGGGTGGGGCGGGAACATATTTGGTGGGGGTTGCAAAGTGATAACGACTGATAAGAGCAGATAAGAGGCGCTGAAACACAAATTTCACGAAATATATAATGCGCTTCGCAGCAGTCGTCAGGAGTTGATTTTGGGACATGGTATAGGGGGTGGGGCGGGAACATATTTGGTGGGGGTACAAAGTGATAACGACTGATAAGAGCAGATAAGGGGCGCTGAAACACAAATTTCACGAAATATATAGTGCGCTTCGCAGCAGTCGTCAGGAACTGATTTTGGGACATGATATGGGGGTGGGACGGTAACATATTTTGTGGTTTTCAAAAAGTGATAACGACAGCTGAGGACTAATAGTAATGATATGCGTACGAACGTAGAGATCACTCGAAACCAGATTGCAGATAGTGCATTTCATTTCAATATCATTTCATTAGCGTTATAATTGTAAACTCAAACACCTTTCGACCGCTGCACCTTCTCGAGTTCTTGAGGATGAATGAGATGCTCGAATAAATACGATAGTGAATACTGGGCATTCTAATTTGAGATCATCAAAAATTATTCGACCGCTAAATTACCTCGATACTCGATGCATGGTGGTTGTTTACATACATCACTTTAGCTGTGCACTTCACTGCGCTTATCAAACAGTGAGATACAGCCAAGATGAGCAACGGACAGTAATGCATTTAAGGAAGCAGCTATAGTTAAGCGGTGAGACCCAAAGCTTCACCGATTCTCAGTCCTATCAAAGGCTTCCGTGTCATGCGCGCGGTAGCGGGCGGAGCTAAACTGGTGTAATATATAAATGTTTCTTCTCTATAGCGGATTAAAGTTGGGCGGAAGTGGTGCAGTGACAAGTGGCGCGCTCACCACGCGAGCGGTCCGGGATCAAATCCTGGGTCGTGAGTCGCCCGGGCCAACCAAGCCTTCCATCCCTCCGGGGTCGGTTAATTGGTACCAGACTTGTCTGGGAGGATAAAAAACACTGACTTGAACATCGGCTGGCCCCCGCAAGTCATTGTATAGGCCACATCGCATTCAAATGCCACTGCGAATGTACAAATGGAAGTAGAATGCGTGCCGCATCCCAAAAGGGATTGATCAACGGCAAATGCTTTATCCTTTATCCTTTATCTTTTCTTTGCAAAGTTATTTGGTGAACTTGATTGAGTACCTGACATTTCCCACGATATCACTTGTCAAATTAATACACCTGCCATAGGCAGGGCTCTATACCCTCATCGATGTTCTGTTACGACAGAAAGCATGTAGAAGGAACCCGAAATTCCCACGAAGATAACGGAGAAAACTAAAAAAATTTAATGCATTCATCACTCTACAAAACCTCCAACATAAAACATAAATAATTAACTGATGTTAATCAGCGCATTCCGGCGCAACGGGTGAAGTACAGCTCCAATAGAAAGCACGAAAACTGCAACACGGAGCCGCACGTTGCCGCATCTCCACGCAAAGTAACTGTTACGGTGAGGGGAGGCGGGGCGGTGTCGAGACTCTTCAAGTAAGTCGGTGTCGTCAACTTTACGAAATTGGTTAACTGACGTGTTACCGTCGGCCGGAGGCTTTATATCAAATCATCAAGGCGTGTAAGAGTGGGTGTATGTCAACAGAGTCGTTTCGACCTCGCACTGCTGGTCATGGCCGTGACGTTGCAACTGCAGTGGACGAGTTTCTGTGTGCGTCACTCTAACTGAACGTTAGAGGAAACGCTCTGTGAACCCGTCTCTTCAACATTCAACTTCAATCAATGCGCGCATACTTTCAATTCCTTCAAACTTTTTTCTTTTTGTATTTTTCCAATATTAATAATATGAAATCGAAAACAATTTTGTTCACGCCACTTTCTGAGAAAAAGCCAGAACATACCAACACAATGTCCTTTTATGTCCACAAGTCAGTGCAGGTCAACAAGTATTCCGTTTGAATACTTGGGCCTAGGTCTTACGCCCTGGGTTCGTATTTAGATCAAAGAGGCACCTATTTTGGCCCGCCCGGGAACGACTACGGTCGGTTGCGTTGCCTAGGCTGACTTTGCACCTTGTTGTACTACGCATTAAACAATTTCGTTGAGAGGCCGATGCGCTTGATGCAGTCTTCTCAACCCTTCAGGTACACACGGGTGACTGATGGTGCCTTGCGTTTTGGTGTCTTGCCGTTCTTGTCCGTTAGCCGAATGGTTGCTTGCGTTTTGATCAACTGGCATGGAACTCTCTGCCTCCTCATAATGACGACTCGTTGTCCTCAGCTTTAGCCGTCTAGTTAGGGGTATGTTGTCTGCCGGCAGTAGCAGTTCTTGTACTTGGTTTCATTTAAATAATTGCTTGATGTGTTTTGTTTGTTCCTTCGTTTATGTTCGACTAACACGAGTTTTGGCTTTGTTGGGCGCACCAAAAGTGCAGTTTAAATAAATAATTAAATAAAAATAAATAAACATGGGAGTTGGAATATGGTGTCCGCGCCCTAGAGAGATTATTGTGGACTGCAGCAAATTCACTGCTCCCACAGTCGAATCCCAAAAATCCTGCACTTTTCGGGAAAATGTCGCCTTGCGACGTCGCCCAAATGGCCACGCGCGGCGGCGCGACAGCTGGACGGTTCCGTTGACCGTTCCTGATTAAAAGCTAGTTCCCGATTGGAGAGGTAGTTGAAATCAAGAGAGGCGAGACTGGTGACGAGAAATCGACGATAGTCTTCATGGAATAACTTATTTCCAGCTAAACCAAAATAGTAGTTTTGTACATGGTCAGACTCGCCACAGAGAGAGGAGTCCATCGCTGTCAAGTCCCTTTCATTTAACCCGCCTTAGAGGGAGTTATGACGGCGCGACGGTTTGCGACGCTACAATTTCGTCGCAACGCGTAGATTCTCAAAATAGGAGCAGTAATTTTATTTTATTGTTTTTTTATTTTTGCATCATACTAGTGCTGATTAGCACTTATAAGCTTGAACTGTATCCGGAGGCATTTTTCTGACCAAGTCGTCGTAAAGTTCACGCTTACATCGAAAGTACTGAAAAGTGATGGGGAAATAGGGAGGTAAAAGTCCTTCGTGGTCATTGGCTTCTTTGACAATGATTCACCAATTTCGTCAAATACTTAAGTTAATTTCCTTGGTGAACCCTATGGATAGCAAACTCTTCAAAAAATTTCTGGCACTGAATGGCGTCGGCGTTGAAAATGAGGGCTAATATTGATGGAGTCAAAACGAAAACAACTCCCAGGGGATTGTAATCGTGGTCTAAGTCGAACTACCAGTGTTATAGTTCACTGTTAGCCATGGCTCCCTCTACAAGCTCGATGTGAGGGTCAAAACCTCCGATGTAACAGAAATCGTGTTGGCCGGTATGATTTCTCCAAAATGCCGCGTAGCTCACCGTGGAAGCGCCCTGCTCGTGCACTGCTGTACGCTCGGGCATTTTGATGTCGCAGAAATTCCAAGGAAGAGAACATCAAGAATCGCAACTACGACAGTCGAGCAACTTGGTGTCATGAACAATATCCTTCGTCCTTGACGCTTTTGCTACACAGCAAAGAAATACTCGCACGGTTCAAATCGTGATTACTGATTTGCAAATCAGCCCTCATTAGGTGTTATCCCAACTAAGTCAAAAAGTCTTTGTAGTTTAGTCGTAATTCGTTCAGCAGACAAGGAGGCATCTCTGAAATCAGCGTCTGATAACTCGATAGAATGCTTCGACAAAACCCATAATACCTCTAGACTTCATCTGACAGAAGTAAAAGGAAAGAAGAGTTCTGTCGCGGCGAAATGCAAAGACCGAGAGCTCAATATTGCCGATCGTCGGCTTGCCGCGAAAAAAGTTTAGATTAAACCCAGTAAATGCCTGTAAAGGTTTACTTACATGCCGTCAAATTTAACGACGTGATGTCAAAAAGGATGACGATGATGACCTCTCTTGACGTCGATGATGACCTCCGTGGTTTGGGCACACACCATCTCGCCCAAACTCTTCAGCGCCGCTCTCGAGAACGTCATGCGTCAACTGGAATGGGAAGACATGGGAGTGAAGGTCGACGGCCGGCAACTACACCACCTTCGTTTTGCTGACGACATCGTTCTTATAACGCCGAACATCGAGCAAGCGGAGCGAATGCTGGCTGATTTCGACTGCGCCTGTGGTAAGGTCGGTCTGCAGCTGAACCTAACGAAGACGATGTTTATGAGAAACGGATTGGTTCCTGATGCCCCATTCACGCTCAACGGAACGAACATCACCGAATGCTCCAGCTACGTTACCAGTCGCGAATAATACTGCAGAACGACTATACTACAGGAGGAAACGAGCGGCTTGGGGAGCGTCAAGAACATCGAGGGAGTAGTGAAGAAGACGAAGAACATCCGGCTCCGTGCCCACCTCTTCGATTCCGCTGTCCTTCCTGCCCTAACCTACGCCTCAGAGACTTGGACTCTGCGCAGGCAGGACGAGCATGCGGTCAGCGTTATCCAACGCGCTGTCGAGAGGACGATGCTAGGAGTAACCCTATACACGCAAGTGCAGAGGGGAATCCGGAGTTCGGAACTACGCCAACGATCGAAGATCAGGGACGCTGCCGTTTTCGCCAAGGAATCGAAGATAAGGTGGGCCGGACACGTCATGCGATTTTGCGATGACCGTTGGACCAGAGCGGTTACCGACTGGATCCCTCGGGACGTCAAACGAACACCTGGACGACCGCCGGCCCGATGGTCAGACTTCTTCACGAAAGCTCTGAACGAAAGGAATGATGGACTTCGTGTCCCTCGAGCAAGGAGGATCCACTGGACCACCCTAGCACGCGACAGGGACGAATGGAGACGTTGCTGGCGCCCGCTCGAGCAATCGACGATCAACGGGACGACAGGTGATACAGGGACGTCAAAAATCCTATGTTTCGCTATTGCACCTCTTTTTGAAGATTGTATTTCTCCAAAGCTTCTAGATATGGTTGCCGGGTTGCTCATCTATCTTTGAA